GAAAGAGTTAAAAATGGAATAGAAATGTCCTCTTTAGAGAACATATTTACTATCTAAAATTCTATAATGTCCATCTATGATGGACAACAATGACAAATTTGAATGAAAACAAACAAATCGACATTGAATTGTGAAACAAGTAGAACACTTAGTTTATATGTTAGGAATTTTTGGGAAAGCATGGAGATTGGAATGCAAGGATATGGAGTGAAGAGTAGTTTTGTTATCAGGGAAACAATTGAAAGAAAAGGAGGCCTCCTTTGTAATTAATCTGACACTTCTTGGGGGACTTGTCACTGTGCAGTTTGGTCACTAACAGAACAGAGGCTGCGCATTGACTAACTGGAGGGTTTGCTACCAGGAGGTGTCCATAATACTAGAAATCTGCTCATACTGTTAGTAGTGGCAGATAGTGCAGGATTTAAGGAATTCTGGGTCAGGATATCAGCATGAGAGCTTCTGAGCATAGTTCTACCATTCCATGGTGGAAGTGTTTTAGTCAGCCCCCCTTGGGTTAGACATCTTTGGGCCCCTTGGTGTTAGTTAAAGCCAGAAGGAGCTCAGATCTGCAGATGCATCCTATTCCCATATTTCCCCTACAAAGCATTTCATCATTCCTTTTTTTATAGATGAGGAAACTGGCTCAGACAGATGTTCATTGGTTTGAACACTACCAGAAATTCTGCTTCAGTCTTTCTGGGTCAGCCTTTGGAGGGTCTTAATTTTATTAAAGCACAGCAGCTGACTCGGTTCTGTTTGGCTCTTGAACTACAGATTGAGACACACAGGTAGGACTCCTGACTTTTGGTTGGCCGTTGTGAGTTTTTACTTCCATTTTTCTTTTTCTCCAGAAATATGCTTACCCATCATTGCAAGTTTTGATTTGTATTGTCTTAAGTATCTTGGTCAGTCTATCATTCTTCCAAGGCCTCAGATGACTCTTCAAGATAATATTTGAAGATAGAGGTCATAATAATTTCACAATAACTTCTTTCTGTACTTTACATAAACAATTTTAAAAACATGCGTGTTTGTGTTTAGTGGGGAGAAAACCTCCCACTAAACACACACATTTTCAAAAATCTATTAAGTTTTACTAAGAAATTATACTTTCATTAGGCCGGGCATGGTGGCTCATGACTTGTAGTCCCAGCACTTTTGGTAGGCCAAGCTAGATGGATTACTCGAGCCCAGGAGTCTGAGACCAGCTTGGGCAACATCGTGAAACCTTGTCTCTACAAAAAATAATTAGCCAGGTGTGATGGTGTGTGCCTGTGGTCCCCAGCTACTTGGAAGGCTGACGTGCGAGGATTGCTTGAGCCTGGAGGCCAAGGCTGCAGTGAGTCGTAATTGTGCCACTGCACTCCAGGCCAGGTGACACAGCAAGACCCTGTCTCAAAGAAAAAATTATACTTTTATTAAAAATAGTTATTGACTATTGGTCGGGTGTGGTGACTCACGCCTGTAATCCCAGCACTTTGGGAGGCCTAGGCCGGTGAATCATGAGGTCAGGAGATCGAGACCATCCTGGCCAACATGGTGAAAACCCGTCTCTACTAAAAAATAAAAAAAAATTAGCCGGGCATGGTGGTGGGCATGGTGGTGGGCGCGCGTGGTGGTGGGCGCCTGTAATCCCAGCTCCTCAGGAGGCTGAGGCAGGAGAATGGTGTGAACCCGGGGACGGAGCTTGCAGTAAGCCGAGATCACGCCACTGCACTCCAGCCTGGGCGACAGAGCAAGACTCTGTCTCAAAAAAAAAAAAAAAGTTACTGACTATTGATTGGTAAATGATTGGGACCTATTAATATTTCTCACACAGCGATTTTTATTTAATGAAATTATATAAGTACAAAACAATTTAATATGGATTACTATTTCTGTCCTTTATAGAACAAAGTCCTGTATTATCCTATATTTGTACAAAGCTTTTTTTTATTATAAAAATACTTGTTTATTATAGAAAAAGTTTGAACATACAGAGATGACAAAAGAAAGTGGTCGTAATTTAGAAAAAGTTTGGACATACAGAGATGACAAAAGAAAGTGGTCGTAATTTGACACCTCAGAATAATCACTGAAAGCGTATTGTTGTACATCATTTACAAATGTGGCAGTGTTTACTCAGGTTGTTTTCAACATAAATACAATATTATTTCCAAAGATTTTATTTTATCTTTTTATTTTTTTCATTTTTTTTGAGACAGAATCTTCTCTGTTACCCAGGCTTGAGTGCAGTGGTGCAATCTTGGCTCCCTGCAACCTCCGCCTCAGTGGAAGTTCAAGCTATTTTCCTGCCTCAGCCTTCCAAGTAGCTGGGACTACAGGTGCGCGCCACCACACCTGGCTAGTTTTTGTATTTTTGGTAGGGAGGGGGTTCCCTCATGTTGGCCAGGATGGTCTCAAACTCCTGACCTCAAGTGATCCCCCTGCCTTGGCCTCCCAAAGGGCTAGGAGTATAGGTGTGAGCCACCGTGCCTGGCCAGACCTAGTTTTAATGGCAAATAGTTATTAAAGACAGAGTTGATACTTACTATTTGTCTTTCAGAAGAAGGGTGTCTACTTGAAACTCTATTGACAGATCACCAAATAACCAGTAGTGGTAACTAACACTGGCTGGTAAGAAAGACCTTAGTAAAATTCTGTGCATCCTAAAGTAAGTCTCTGTTTAAACAGTGGAGATATACAGAGCCATTTTTGTAATGTATTATGTGGGAATGAAGGGATGGTATTTGGAAAGAGGTGCTAACTGCATGTAGACTTGTGAGAATTTTTGCTAGTTTTCTCACTTTTTGAATGAGGAGATTGGACCAGTTGAGCTCTTGTTTGTTTAGTACTTTGGGAAAGGGTGGAAAGAGTTGGCTTTTAGCAAACATATGTTTTATGTGTTATTCCATTTAATGCTTTATGACTCCATATAAAGTGTTTTATCCTCATTTAAAAAAAATTAATTTTGTTTTATTATAAGTTCCAAGGTACATGTGTAGGATTTGCAGGTTTGTTGTAAACGTGTGCCATGGTGGTTTGCTGCATCTATCAACCCATCACCTCGGTGTTAAGCCAGGCATGCATTAGCTGTTTCTCCTAATGCTCTCCCTCCCCCAACCTCCTGACAGGCCACAGTGTGTGGTGTTCCCCTCCCTGTGTCCATGTGTTCTCATTGTTCAGCTCCCACTTATAAGTGAGAACATGCAGTGTTTGGTTTTCTGTTCTTGCATTAGTTTGCTGAGGATAATGGCTTCCAGCTTCATCCATGTCCCTGCAAAGGACATGACCTCATTGCTGTTTATCCCCATTTTTATAGATGAGGAAACTGAAACGCAAAGAGTTTCGTTTAGGTCACATACCCAGGTATTTCTGGCTTTATCTTCATTTTTTTCCCTTACATTTACTATGTTCTCATTTATAATATTCTTTCCAGCTCTAAAATTGTGATTCTGTAACAGTGGAAAGAACAGTGTAATGAACCCTAATTTACCCCATTTACAAGATTGTTATCCTATGGCCGACTTGTTTCATCTGTACCCCTTTATAGTTGCCTCCCAGCATTATTTTCTCCCACCACATACTTTGACACAGAACTCACCATCTCCCCCCTCCCCTCCCCTCCCCTTCTTGCCTTGATGGAGTTTCACGCTTGTTGCCCAGGCTGAAGTGCAGTGCTGCGATCCTCGCTGACTATAACCTCTGCCTCCTGGTTCAAGCGATTCTCCTGCCTCAGCCTCCCAAGTAGCTGGGATCACAGCCATGCGCTGCCACACCCGGCTAATTTTTTTGTATTTTTAGTAGAGATGGGGTTTCTCCATGTTGGTCAGGCTGGTCTCGAACTCCTGACCTCAGGTGATCTGCCCGCCTTGGCCTCCCAAAATGGTGGGATTACAGGCGTGAGCCATCACGCCTGGCCTACTCAGTGATTTTTATAATTTCTTTTAAAACTGTTTGAGATTCATGTAAGGCCCCATACATTTTAATTAGTTGGTATGTCTGTTAAGTCTTTAATCTACACGTTTCACCTCTATCTCACTTTCTCGTTTTCTTGCATTAAAAAAAAAGTGTGTTTGTGTGTGTGTTCGTGTATGTGTATGTATATGTATAAAGAAACTGGGTTTTGACTTTCAGATATCCTCATACCGTGGAGATTGTGATGGTGTTCAATGTTTTTCTGTCTCATGTATTTTATACAATTTGGTAATTTGATTTAGAGTATTACTGTCTAATATAACATAAGCCATATATAATTTGAATTTTTCCATATATACTTTTTTAAAAAGTGAAAAGAAATGGGTAAAATTGGTTTGAATAATATTTTATTTGACCCAGTATATCCACAGTGTTACTATTTCAACATATAATCAACAAAATTAATGAAGTATATTGCTTTTTTTTGGTACGAATCTTAGAAATTTGATGTGTATTTTGTACTTAAAGCACATCTCAGTTGTATTAGCCACATTTCAAGTACCCAGTAGCAGTATGTGACTAGTGACACCTGTATTGAACAGCACAGATTTAGAGAACTGATCAGATTCAGGCTTTTTGTTTTTATGTCAGGAAATAGAGAATGCCTGACTCTCTTGGTGTGGTGATATTGGCAGCCATTCATGAACATTGTCTTTATCTATTGATTTATTAGGGCTTGCAAAGTGGTGATACTGTATCCTTCTACCTTCATTTATTATCTATAATACTTATCTAAAGGAATACTTCCCAACCATGACTATTTGGTCACACCCCCGTCACCTGCCAAAAAGCCCTAAACAGTTCATGTAGAAAAAGGATAAATAATGCTTGATCTTTTTCTTTTATTTACCAGTTTTCCAAATAATGAATTTGTTTCCTACCATTGTCCAAAAGTAACTGGAAAATATTTTGTTTTCAACTGTCATAGATATTTTAGCTTTCCTGCTTGGAATGTTAGTCAGTGTCCTTCAGAGAAACAGAACCAGTAGGGTATGTGTGTCTACACCTGTATAACTATATTTGTATCTATATCTATCTATATCCCTATCTGTAGATCTATTTATCTTCAATATAGAAGGAGATTTATTTGGAATTAACTCATGCCATTATGGAGGCTGACAAGTGCCAAGATATGCAGTCGGGAAGCTGGAGACCCGGGAGAGCTGACGGTGCAGTTTCACTTTGAGTATGAAGCCCTGAGAAATGGGAGAGCTAATGGTGTAGTTAGAGACTGAGGATTGGTTGGTTGACTCAAGACCTAGGAATAGGCAGTATTTCAGTATGAAGGTGAAGGCAGAAGAAATATGATGTTGTTGCTTGAAGGCTTCGTCAGGCAGGAGGAATTGGTTCTCTCTTACTTGGGGAAGGGTCAACCTTTTTGTTTTAGTCAGGCCTTCAACTGATGAGGTGGGGCCTACCCACATTAGGGAGGACAATCTGCTTTACTTAGTCTACTGATTGAAATGTTAACCTTATCTAGAAATATTCTCACAGATACAGCCAGAAAAATGCTTGACTAAATGTCTGGGCACCCTCTGGTCCAGTTAAGTCAACACATAAAATTAACTGTCACATCCAGGCTCATTTTGTACATTTCCTGCCCTAAATATTGTTGTCAATTAATGAGTGCCCTTTGATGATACTTCTGATGATGAAAACACTTCGAGATTCATACTTTTCAAAGCTTTACCTTTAGTGTTTTTTCATTAGGAAAGGTGTAATTTCTTGAAAGTGATTACATTATCTTATACTTAATTTTTAGATGCCTTTTCTCACTTTTGGGAAAGAGGTTCTTGGTGTCCACTCTGTCACTGTCATGTTGATGTTTGTTTCTGATAAAGTACTTGAGAGAAGCATAGAATGAAAGCTTATAGCACAGAGTCATACGTAGTAAAATGGATACACGTGGCTTATAGTTATCTCTCTTTTCTTTCTTTCTTTTTTTTTTTGACACAGTCTCACTCTGGTTGCTCAGGCTGGAGTGCAGTGGCATGATCTTGGCTCACTGCAGCCTCGACTTCCCCAGACTCAGGTGATTCTCCCACCTCAGCCTTCTGAATCGCTGGGATTATAGGTGCGTGCCATCACACCTAGCTAATTTTTTGTATTTTTAGTAGAGATGGGGCTTCACCACTGTGTTGCCCAGGCTGGTCTTGACCTCCTGGACTCAATCCTCTTGCCTCGGCCTCCCAGAGTGGTGGGATTACAGGTGTGAGCCACCATGCCTGGCCATCTCTTTGTATCAACCTGAACAATTTTACCTCTTAGTATAACAACAGAATTACAGACACAATTGAGTTTATCCTCTTCATTTTTTTTTTTACAGAAAAGGAAATAGAGGGCCACATCTGGTTATTGGGGATGACTTGGTCTTAGAGTCGTCAGCATGCTGTAGTGGGAGTTCAGAGCCAGACTAAAATGGCTCAGATTCTTAGCATTGCCATTCACTAGTCATATGACCTTGAGGAAACTTGATTTTTTTGGTTTATTTATAAACTAGAGATAATAACTATGTCATAGGATTACTGTGACAGTTAACCAGGATAACATTTTTTTTTTTTTTTTTTTTTTTTGAGTCATGGTCTCACTTTGTCACCCAGGCTGCAGTATGGTAGCATGATCTTGGCTCACTGCACCCTCTGCCTTCCAGGCACAAGTGATCCTCCTGCCTCAGCCTCCTGAGTAGCTGGGGCTATAGGTGTGTGTAACCATGCCTAGCTAGTTTTTTTTTTTTTAATTTCTTTGTAGAGACAGAGTCCCACTATGTTGCCCAGGCTGGTCTTGAAATCCTGAGCTCAAGCAATTCGCCCACCTAGGCCTCCCCAAGTGCTGGGATTACAGGCATGAGCCACCACGACTGGCCCAAGATAACATATTTTAAAGAACCCAGTAGTGTGCCTGACACATTGTAGGTACACTGTAAATTCTGTTTTCTTCCTGTCCTCCCAGATTGCAGTTTTTTCTGGCGTATTGTTGCCTCTTTTTTTTTTGATCGAGTCTTCCTTTATCACCCAGGCTAGAATGCAGTGGTGTAATCTCGCTCACTGCAACCTCTGCCTCCCAGGTTCAGGCAGTTCTCCTGCCTCAGCCTCCTGAGTAGCTGAGTTTATAGGTGCTCGCCACCACACCCAGCTAATTTTTGTATTTTCAGTAGAGAGGGGGATTTCCCATGTTGGCCAGGCTGGCCTCAAACTCCTGACCTCAAGTGATCTGTCCATCTTGGCCTCCCAAAGTGCTGGGATTACAGGCGTGAGTCAGTATACCTGGTCTCTTGCCTCCTTTTTGAATTTAACATCAAATGTCGAAATTAGCTGAAAATGATATGCTTTCCTAACATTTGTTACTTTATTTATAGTATTTGCTTAGCAAACTTTTTTCCTAACAGACTAAAAAAATTTGATCCTTTCCCGAATTTTTCTGGATGACAGTTACTGAAGTTTAAATTGAGAAGATTTGGCCAGGCCTGGTGGCTCACACCTGTAATCCTAGCACTTTGGGAGGCTTAGGCGGGCGGATCACTTGAGGTCAGGAGCTCAAGAGCAGTCTGACCAACATGGGGAAAACCCTCTCTACTAAAACTACAAAAATTAGCCGGGTGTGGTGGCGGGTGCCTGTAATCCCAGCTACTTGGGTGGCTGAGGCACAAGAATTGCTTGAACCCTGGAGGTGGAGGTTGCAATGAGCCGAGAACACACCACTGCACTTCAGCCTGGGTAATAGAATGAGACTCTAAATAAATATATAAATTCAGAAGATTTTACTTTTCATATTGAAGTACTTATCCAAAGTAAGTTTTGTTATTATATCCTAATTTATTGTAATTATTGAATATTAATTACAAATACTTCTTAATCATATTTTGTATGTTAGCAGGGTACAGTGTAATTATTTTCATGCCTGTATTTTGCTACAGTAAACAGGATAGTTTAGAAAGGCTATAATTAATAGATGTTCAAATGTTGCTTTGATGTCCTTAGATGAAAGCTATGCTTCCAACACCAAATGCTAGTATTTTTAATTATCATTCTCCTTTTTAATTTGAAATAATGGCTTTGAGTACTGTAGTGCTAGCTACAGGATTCTTAGCCTGTAGTATTTAATGTGAATGTGCAGAAAACATTTTAGAAACTTTTTTTTTTTTTTTGAGAGAGGATCTTGCTCTATCACCCAGGCTGCAGTGCAGTGGTGTGATAACGAGTCGTGATAACGACTCACTGCAACTTCTGCCTCCTGGGTCCAAGCAGTTCTCATGCCTCAACCTCCCATGTGGCTGGGACTACAGGCATGTGCTGCCACACCTGGCTGATTTTTGTATTTTTAACTGGGCTGATCTTGAACCCTTGGCCTCAAGTGATCTGCCCTCCTGGGACTCCCAAAGTGCTGGGATTATAGGCATGAGCCACCACATCAGGCCATAAATGATTAACATTCATCTTTCAAAAAATGCAGTTTTAGATTCAGGTTGTTTGCTATTTGAGTCCAGTTGCAGAAGCAAGTTGTCAAATACTTGAATATTGACTTTCCTGTGACATTAATAGATAGCTTTCTTTGTTGTGAGGCAGAAAAATACAATTGCTGATGTCCGAGGTTGTGTTTCATAAGGTAAATGAATTTTATTTGAGGTTCTGCAGACTTCAAATTGGGAGATCCTTGAGGTGATGATGATGAAATAGAAAGTTTAACTACCTTCATTTTTTTTGGAGTGGTTTTCATTTGCTTTCTCCATTTTCTTGTACCTTATCTTATCTGTTGTAATTACTTGTAAATTCAACTTTTACCTGCAATCCCTGAAAAGTAACTGCTCAAAGGCTCCCAATTTCTCATAATCACTGAAATCGATTGACTGGCTTTTTTTTTCCTGTTCTCATTGTGCTTATTTATTAGAGTCGGATTCTGTTAATCTTCATGAAGGATATCATCTCTTTGCTTTCCTTGTACTGGATTTTCTCTTTATTTCTTGAGCTACGCCTTTTTTCCCTTCCTTATTGGCCCAACTTCTTACTTCTATGCCCAAGTACCTGTATCTCAGGACTCACTTTTTCTAACATTTCTATTGTCATCATCAGTCAGTCCATGTTCAGATGGCTCTTATGCATTCTTTTGTCTTTACCACCTTAATTAAATGATTCTGAAATCTCTTTTTGTCCTTGATCCCTTTTCCTGCACTTAAGGCTCTTACTCTTACTAATGGGAATCTTTACCTAGTTGCCTTGTTGTCTCCTGTAACTTTTGGTGTGTCCAAAATCAGTCGTCATCTTAGAACAAGCTTCATGGCCTTCCTTTATCTTGTTATTGGTACTGGTATTATTATTCATCTAGCCCCATTTTAATAATCATTGACTCTTTTATCCCCCTTCAATTTATTTAGGCACACAGTTCTAGTCTAACTTTGATTAACACAGTTTGGGCTGGGCACGGTGGGTCATGCCTGTAATACCAGCACTTTGTGAGGCTGAGGTGGATGGATTGCTTGAGCCCAGGAGTTTGAGAACAGCTTGGTCAACATGGTGAAACCCCGTCTCTACTAAAAATAAAAATTAACCAGGCGTGGTGTCGCATACCTGTGGTCCCAGCTACTCAGGACTCTGAGGCAGAAGGCTGACTTGAGCCAGGGAGGCGGAGGTTGCGCTGAACTGAGATCGTGCCACTGCACTCCGGCCTGGGTGATAGAGCCAGAGCTTGTCTCAAAACAAAATGAAACAAAACAAAACACGGCCGGGCGCGGTGGCTCAAGCCTGTAATCCCAGCACTTTGGGAGGCCGAGACGGGCGGATCACAAGATCAGGAGATCGAGACCATCCTGGCTAAC